TATTATTCCAACACTTGTTGAGTGCCACAGTTAAACTCCTGCACACTACACACACAAACACACAAAAGTGTTTTGTTCACACCACATTATTCAGACGAGGGAGGTTAGCTAGGGTTAGCTATGTTTCTTTTATGACTACAAATACCACCCAAATTGAATTGGGTGATCTGTGTGATCAGCCCAAGTATCAGCTCAGATTTCTCAAACGATTTGGAAATAAAAGCAAAAACTGTGTCTGCATGACAAGATACCACCAGGGGTAAATGGGAAAATATGTGTTTTCATAATTTATGTGAACTGAACCCTTAATGATGACATGCACCATTGCGACTTTCTAAATATGTTGCAAGATCACAAACAAGCCGGCATCCCTGGTGGATATTAGAAGAATTAGATGGCGGGACATCAATCTCCCTCCCAAGAGGTGTCATTGAGTAAAATCTAATTATTCCTCTCACAGCTCAATATTTTGGTTACTAATGATCCTTGACCAATCACATTACTAAGTTACTTTAATGTGAACAATCAGATTAGCATGCTTTGCCTGTTAAGTTCCAGATCTGGCTGAGCAGATGTCTGTCCCCTGATACATTTCATTAACATCAATTACTAGACGCCATCTCTCTGTCAATCTTCTATGTCTCTCTTTTTTCCCCCACTCTCATTCTTAGAAACAGGCCTCAGGAAACGCATCTCTTCCTCTTGAGTTCATATACTTGGCTCATCTTTAGATTACTGCACTTATCATTTGAGTGTATAATGGATTCTGACAGGAAAAACTGCAGATGTCAGTTGAGTTTGGGGTTTGTTGGTCTGGTAAATATGCAGCACACCCCGTAAACACAGCCGCAGACTATTTAAAGCACCCTGTCAAAGTGCAACGCTGAAAATCCCCCTTGATGATGTGCCTTGGCCTGTCGTCAGCGCAACAGAGATCGTAAGAGCTTTGAAAAATGGAGAATAGATGTGCAGCAAAGTCTGGTCTTTATCAGAGCAGTAGCAGACCTCATCCTTGACACTGCATGTGTTATTACTCAGGAATTAGCTGATAGTAGTAATGCTACCCGTAAGTGAAGTGCATTGGGATATGAGTTAACTTTACTCTAAAGACATCTGTTGCCTTGTACGCAACTGTTAATAACTTGTGTCGCAGATGACGTACTGATTACAGCAACATGCACATTTATACACACATGCAAGGGCTTATAATATACTCACACACTCTTATTCAAAATTGCCATGTCCAGTGGTCATTTGATGCCATTGATTAGACACATGACTAACCCTTACATTGTAGGATTACACATATTGGTTTAGTGGCTAAATTCCCCACTGTGACTTGCACTCACACTGCAGGCATTTACACAGCTGTCCAAATACAGAAGTCCTTCACATCAAATGACTTTCTTTCCTGGGGAATCTACCAGTCTCCTTCTTTGAGGTATTCAACCTGATGCCTCCAAGCTACACATTTCACTAAAGTGGGAGGTACATATGGCGTGTTCAACAGCTCCTGAAAATATGAAACATTGTTTTTGTATTTGTTACTTTCTCATCGGAAAACCTAAACCGGGTGTAAGGTTCAGTACACGCCCATGGTCCCTTGTTGTCCAGAAATGAACTCAGGAAATTGCCTTCAGTGCAAGTGAACCATACTTAATAACAGAGACCTCATTGGCATGGTGCTGCAGTCCTGCTCTTTGAATGTGCAATCTATTGGGAGGAGGTGAAACTGAGAGAGCGTGAGAGTAATAAAAGATCAAGAGAAAAGGACAAGTGTGTGATGCAGCAGATTAAGGGAAGGTGTGTTCTGATGGTAATGCTAGAGGATGAAGGAATTGTCAGATCTGCATGCAGCAATTCTCATTTGCACTGTGAGTGAGTTCACAGTGGGACACACCCTCTGAATCTGCTTCCAAGCTGCATATTAGTTTTCCATTTGTGTGTTGAGCGCTGAGTGTGTGAAGGAATTCAGCTTGGGAGTGGCGGCTTATCAGTCCCATTGACATGCTGCTTGTAATAATCCTTAAAGTGAAAAGATGGCAAGTAAGTTTAATACTAACTATCTCATCACCTCTTACATTGAATGGATAATTGCCAGGTGATGCTTAGCAGCTGTTTAGTTGATTATAGTATCACTATTCAGTATATACAGACCTGCATAGCAGCATCCGTTATACATTAACAAGAGTGTGGGCTTTCTGTAGCACATATTTAATAGATGACATACATTTTCAGGGTAATAGTTTGAGTTTATAGTGAAAATAACATCTTCATGTGCACATTAAATGATGCACTTTACAGTACATGCACAGCAGTGAGGGAGAGGAAGTGGGTAGCATAACCAGCAACAGTATAGTCACCATGGCTGAACAGACAAACTTTATTGACAAAAAGTAAAACAAGAAACTGAGCTAAAACTTCAAAGTTTCTATGGATGAGTTTGCAACAATGATGTACCAATTTACTTCAGGGAGTTTTTTTGATATTCAATATAAAGAAATTATGAATTCCTGGTAATAGCTCAGGATGATGCACTATGGATGCACCACTTTATTTTAGGGGACAGAAAATTGTAACTAAAATGTACACATTAAGGAACAAGTGATTAGTTATTGGTTTTGTGCCATTGCATTGTAGGTATCCCAATGTAGATATCCCAAGTACTCCCAAGTAAACTTTAGTATCAGCCAACCAGTAGCATCATTATCAGTAGATTCACATCTACCCTGCAGTACTTCTGAGTGATTCAGGAACAACCACAGCAATGCTTTCTTTACATGTTTGCAATTTACAATTATTACTGATATACTTAATTACTGTAAACCAGAACAAATCACACTCTTTTGCACCAAGCTCCCTTCCATAATGTTAAAGTGAGTTGTCTCCTGTATGCTGATCCCCTTTCTCAGCTTCAGTCAATTCAGCTTTATTGGCATGAATGTAATAACAACATTGCCAAAGCATCATATATACAACATAAGAACAATCAGCCCCATACATGTGTTTAAAAAAAAAAGAAATATTAAAAATTAAAATAAAATAAATAAATAAAACAGTAAGCGTGTGTGTGTGTGTGTGTGTGTGTGTGTGTGTGTGTGTGTGTGTGTGTTTAAAAAATACAACAGTGAATGAAACAGTAACATGTGTGTGTATATTTTAATAGACAAAAAAAGTTTTTTTAAAGAATTAATTGATTAAAAAATAATAATAAAAAAAGAAAAAAGAAATCAGTATCAAATGTAAAAACAAAACAATTACTAAAATATCAAATGATCAAAATAATAATAATTTGAAAATCTGTACAATTATTTGTTAGTCTGTGGTTCCGAACACTGGTTGTCCTCACTTCATTGCATTTAGGCATTTCTCCCAGTAAATAGGGGAGTTTCTGTGTGTCTGATATGAATTCGAATTCGGGGTATATTTGGGAAATGTTTGCAAAGTGTTTTTGTCTTTGTGTTTTATATTTAGGGCATGAGGTTAGAAAGTGCAGCTCTGTCTCTACCTGTCCCCTGTCACACTGGGAGAAGAGTCTCTCCTCTTGTGGTAGCCAGCTCTGTCTGTGGCGACCCTTTTTCTATGTGTTCACTCAGTCTGTATGTTGTCAACATTTTTCTTAATTTGGGACATTTTATTGTACTCAGGTAATTTGCCACTGTGAATTCTCTTTTTAGGGTCAGATAACATTGTAATTTACTTTGTGTTTTGGTCGTTTCTTTCCAGTATTCAATATATTTTTCTTTCTGCTTGCTGATAATTTGGTTTGGTCTGCTTGAGTTGGTGTTGCTGTCCTGAGGCTGTTTGGGACTTGTTACTGCAGAGGACCAGCTGGCTGAGGGGACTCTTCTCTGGTTTCAGCTCCTGGTATGTTAGGGCTTTGTGATGATATGTCTGGGGGTTAACTGATTTTAAGCGATTGAAAAATTTAAGTGATCTTTTCTGTATTTTTTAGTAGGAGGGGGTATTGGCCGAGCTCTGCTCTGCACAGGTTATTTGGTGTTTTTCTCTGCACCTGCAGGATGCTCTTACAGAACTCAGTATGGAACGATTCTATGATTGTTTTGTCCCATTTGTCAAATACATTATTAAGTTTTGGCCCCCAGATTTCGCTACCATATAGAATTATTGGTTCTAGTACAAATTGGAAAATTTTCAGCCAGATTTCAATTGGATTATATATTGTAATGTTTCTTTTTATTTATTTATTTCTCTTCAGTCTCTGTCAAGCAACATGGATCTTCAGTGGGTGTTGTTATACATTGTTCAATGTAATTTGAGCAGCTCCTCAGAAGACATATTGTAGATTTTGCACTGTATGCACTTAATAGTTATTGCATACCTGCAGTATTCTGACTTGCTTTCCAAAGATAAAATCCTTTAAAATATATGTGGACTGGCAGCAGAAAGTGTGGATGGTTTCATGAAAGGAATGTAATATGAGTAAAAGCAGAAGAACAGTAGGAACTTAAACACAAGAAGACAAGGCGAAATGTTGCATACCTGTCCAGCTGTGGAAGAATTATGATAGTTAAATAGGTTGCTTATTGATGTTTACTGAGTATAGCTGTTACAGGTCAGTATTTAATAATTTAAAACAGTTGTTGTGGTGTAAATTAACTGTGTACTGTGGCCCTGCAGATGGAGATGTGAATACCAGACATTCCTTATACTACATGTTCTCCCTCCCTCCCTCTCCCTGCCTCTCCTTCTCCCTCTCACTTTCCATTTATAATTCCTTCATATGTTCTCACTTTCTTTGCTTCTTTATTTTATATTCTCTCGACCTTGTTAATGTTGTTCCAGGTGTTCTACATGTACTCAATCATAACAAAAAATAAATATCTCTCAGGAGACATTTCTTGCTGCTTGTCATGTCTTCTTGCTGTCTTTATTGCTTACACTGCCCCACTCCCCCATACTCCTCTCCGTCCCCTTCCTCCTCCTGATGTGTTTCCATGTCCTGACTCCCTCCTCTTCCTCCTCCTGATGTCTTTCAGGCTGTTCCTGAAAAGCCACAGTGGGACTGCAGGCAGACAGAGCAGTCTAGTAATCCATGGAGCAGACTTCAGCACCAAGGACATGGACAATGACAACTGCATGTGCAAGTGTGCCCTCATGCTCACTGGTGGTAAGTGCAGCCAAAGTGCATTACAGTGAGGATAATCATACATTCATGGCATGACAAGGAATCTATATCACCATTACCTCCTGGAGTAACAATTGCAACAAATGTGTTGTTTAATTCAACCTGACTATCAGTTTTGTAGTTTCAATTAATTTTTAGTTATGATATCGCTGCACTCATCTAAGTAGTTGTTAAGATCAGGTACCATGGCAAGATCGCTACATTGAGGTTCGACAGGACAAAAATCATGAGTGGTAAGACAATCAGACTAGTTGTGAACAAGCCAGCAGTTTAGCCAGATTGTCTAAACCAGCAAAACCACCATTTAGAGGGGAACCTAAAATATATCTTATAATCCCTCATTGCACAGGAGAACTGTGTGGGCACACTACGGCAGCCACAGTGATCAAAGTTGAATCAGGTTGTTGGAAGCACAACAATGACATATTATCACCTCATAAAGTTGGCAACATGTTAGCAAATAGTTGCATATTTACACATCAACGAAGTCACAGAGAAGCAATAGCATTGTTAGAGTAGTGTCTCTGTAAGTCCAATATTTATTGTACTTTTAGCTCTGTTTTTGGTCTCCACCAACTCCTGACGGAAATACCTTGCTCTTTAGCTGATAAATGTGCAACTATGTTTGCCAGCCAGTCACACACTTTGTCTGTTTGTCAACAATTGATGAGAGAACGGTTAAGTTGCAAGCTGTAAAACCAAAACTATGTGCTAAAAGACACAGGAAAAAGTTCCATAGAGCTGATCAAGTTTTTGTGTTTTGCCTCATTCTTTTCAGCAATGTCTTCCTGCTCTCTGCTTAACTTGGGAAGCACAATGTTATTATTACCAATAAAAAATAATTGGTAAATCTACAAAAAAAAGCCCAACATGTAATAAACCGGAATGATCCTTTAAGCATTTGCCTCGGTATGGCACCAGCAAGACAATACAGAATTGCTTTTATGAGAAAACAATGGCATGATATAACCATTCCAAAAGCTATTTTCTCTGATTGGTTTTATGACCAACCCCACAATGTTCATTACCCAGCCATCAGTTCAGGTTATTATGATCACAACCTGCTCTTGAAAGGCATGCAATGGGCTAACATGGCCACTTATACATCTATCTGCGCCTATTAGGCTATATACTGCATTCCCTCCCAGTTGCACTGTGGTTGGAAAGGAGCACATTATAAAAGTCCCTGGGCGCGGCACCAAATGTCAGAGAGATTTAAAATGACTCTGCTTCTCCTGCTGTGTAAGTGGAGCTCAGTGACCCTTGCTGTCACCTCATGGCAGCTCTATTGCTGCAGAGTCTTGACCTGGTACTAATCAAACATTTCTAAGTGCAGATTTAAAATCAGCATTACCTCTTAGGTCATTGTGAATGCAGTGGGTTCAAGGGAACTGGCATCTGATCACTGATCAACATCCCTACTCTGCTTGATTCATAGCCTGCCTGTGGGCAGCCACAAAGGACAGGCATGACAACAGCCTGAGTCAAGACTGGTCCGAACCCAGCACTGTGCTAGCTATAGTATATACACTATATCAGTTGATTTATTCCTTGCATTTATGGGCTGACATCAAATGATGTAAGTGTCTGGAATATAAGAGAGGAAAATACTTACTCTGTTACATTTATGAGGACAACTGCAGCATGCATGTTATGAATACAGAGGAGCATATAATAGGACACACACATACTGTAATATATATATTTACCCAGCACCATAACATACAATAGCGATAAAACACTGACAGTTGGAGGTAGGGGGATCCCTCTATCATGAGAACAAACTACACTAGCTGAGATTTTTTTGTGTTTTTTCAAAAGAAGACATCCCCACAGTTTTTATAAGTCAGTAAAAATCTCTGGGCAGGAAACAGAAAGTATGCTGATCATAAATCCCAAAGGGTTGCTGCCGTGCACGCTGAATGTTTATGTGTGTGTTGGCGGTTGTGTGGTCTGCAGTTTATCAACAAGTAAGGGATGGCGAGTAGGACATATGTGCTATATTCGGCTTCTTGGTTTAAGAGGAAAAACACTGTCTCAATAAAATAAAACTGCAGGTTGCATAACACACACACTTGTATGAGATGCTATTACCAACCCCCATCCCATCACAGTATCAAATACCAAATAACATCAGCTTTTCTACTGATACTTTCAACTGTATTTTCATTTGAAATTGTGGCTAGTGTTGTAAACCTTAATGTTTTTTGGCCACACAGCATTGACATGTCACCTTTTAAGTTGACATGGCAGACTTATTGCTTATTTACACATCCAGTAGATCCTGGCTGATGTTAATCCAGTATTCACTTTCCCCCTAGCTCTGTTTGGTTTCCACCATCTGCTGAAGGAAATATCTGGCTGCAGAATGCTCTTCTATGTTCACCAACTAGTCACTAATTTGTGCCAGGCAGGTAGAGTACAGGTGGTTTTTTTAGAGCTTACATGCTGAAAACAGCTGCCTGCTGTATCTGGACTGATGAAAGCGCTGGGAGTAAACCAGCACATTTTGTTGGCCTTAAAACCAAAACAATGAGCTACAAGATGCTAAAATGCCCCATGGGTGAGAATTTCCCTGTGGGTTTGTCACTCCAAGTGACCACTTTCATATTATACATAATCATTGAATCCATTGTTTATTGAGAAACATTGGCTATAGCAGCTTTAACCTTTCACAACTTTGGTCCTTGTACAACGATGTCAGGTGCAGTGCTTCTTCTCAATGATCTCCCCAGCTTGAGGACCATTTCTCGTTGAATTGCATGTGCAATTTCATATTCAATTCCCACTGGCAGCAGCATCCTGAAATTATATGCAGTTATGGAAATACAGTATAAGGAGGTCAGTTTCCGGGCTATGTTGTATACAGTGCCTTGCGAAAGGCAGACCCTATTGCCACATTTCAGGCTTCAAACATAAAGATATAAAACTGTAATTTTTTGTGAAGAATCAACAACAATTGGGACACAATTATGAAGTGAAACGAAATTTATTGAATATTTCAAACTTTTTTAACAAATAAAAACTGAAAAATTGTGCGTGCAAAATTATTCAGCCCCCTTAAGTTAATACTTTGTAGCGCCACCTTTTGCTGCGATTACAGCTGTAAGTCGCTTGGGGTACGTCTCTATCAGTTTTGCACATCGAGAGACTGAAATTTTTGCCCATTCCTCCTTGCAAAACAGCTCAAGCTCAGTGAGGTTGGATGGAGAGCGGTTGTGAACAGCAGTTTTCAGTTCTTTCCACAGATTCTCGATTGGATTCAGGTCTGGACTTTGACTTGGCCATTCTAACACCTGGATATGTTTGTGAACCATTCCAGTGTAGCTTTATGTTTTGGATCATTGTCTTGTTGGAAGACAAATCTCCGTCCCAGTCTCAGGTCTTTTGCAGACTCCATCAGGTTTTCTTCCAGAATGGTCCTGTATTTGGCTCCATCCATCTTCCCATCAATTTTAACCATCTTCCCTGTCCCTGCTGAAGAAAAGCAGGCCCAAACCATGATGCTGCCACCACCATGTTTGACAGTGGGGATGGTGAGTTCAGGGTGATGAGCTGTGTTGCTTTTACGCCAAACATAATGTTTTGCATTGTTGCCAAAAAGTTCGATTTTGGTTTCATCTGACCAGAGCACCTTCTTCCACATTTTTGGTGTGTCTCCCAGGTGGCTTGTGGCAAACTTTAAATGAGACTTTTTATGGATATCTTTAAGAAATGGCTTTCTTCTTGCCACTCTTCCATAAAGGCCAGATTTGTGCAGTATACGACTGATTGTTGTCCTATGGAGAGAGTCTCCCACCTCAGCTGTAGATCTCTGCAGTTCATCCAGAGTGATCATGGGCCTCTTGGCTGCATCTCTGATCAGTCTTCTCCTTGTATGAGCTGAAAGTTTAGAGGGACGGCCGGGTCTTCGTAGATTTGCAGTGGTCTGATACTCCTTCCATTTCAATATTATCGCTTGCACAGTGCTCCTTGGGATGTTTAAAGCTTGGGAAATCTTTTTGTATCCAAATCCGGCTTTAAACTTCTCCACAACAGTATCTCGGACCTGCCTGGTGTGTTCCTTGTTCTTCATGATGCTCTCTGCACTTTAAACGGACCTCTGAGACTATCACAGAGCAGGTGCATTTATACGGAGACATGATTTCACACAGGTGGATTCTATTTATCATCATTAGTCATTTAGGTCAACATTGGATCATTCAGAGATCCTCACTGAACTTCTGGAGAGAGTTTGCTGCACTGAAAGTAAAGGGGCTGAATAATTTTGCACGCCCAATTTTTCAGTTTTTTATTTGTTAAAAAGGTTTGAAATATCCAATAAATTTCGTTCCACTTCATAATTGTGTCCCACTTGTTGTTGATTCTTCACAAAAAATTACAGTTTTATATCTTTATGTTTGAAGCCTGAAATGTGGCAAAAGGTCGAAAAGTTCAAGGGGGCCGAATACTTTCGCAAGGCACTGTATGTGTCTTATGATGATGCAGCAATCAATGTGAAATTTATATGTGTGTGATCCATGCCAGCAACAAGGGCAGAACATTGCTCCTGATTACTGACAGGTCTTGTGAAATGTCATACTGCAGGCCCCAGTGGTATTTAGGTCTGAGAGGAGAAACGCTGCCATTTGTCACTGTGTGACTGACACATGCCATGCCACGCATAAGTCCTATATTTGACTGTATCAGTGAGGGTATGTTTACTAGTTCAGATATATAACTTGAATGACAGATTACTAGGAAGGAATAGGTGTTATGTTATACTATATATCTACTACGTGGAAGAGTGTGCACCACGTATCAAGGCAGAGTCCTTACCACGCAGGTTTCGGGTTCAAGTCCGGCACTTTGCTGCATTTCATCCTCTCTCTCTTCACTGCGCTTTATTGTCTCTCTCTATTGTTTTATTGTTTATTGTTTATTCTATTATCCCCCCTAAAATATATATATATATGAAAATGTCAAAGGTTTCAAGGAAAACATTAAAATACAATAAAACCAGCCACAACCTTTCAGATTTAAGAAAAGTAAGGACACAGACTGCTGAGTTTATGGAAGTTACATGGTGGATATTTATAGATAGGTTGTACCATAGTTTCGGTCTATAATAAGAAAGGACTGCCTCTCCATACTTCTGTCTTAACTGCTGGTACATTTAATGCTTTAGTTCTCAATGACCCAAAGCAACAGGTAAGAGTATAGAGGGAGAAACAGTTGAAAAAGTGTGGAGCTAAAACAGAATAAAATCAGAATCTTGTAAACTAGCAGTAACATTTTAAAGCCCATTCTAAAAGAGACAGGGAGCCAAAGTATGGCTTAAATTATCAAACTGTCCTCTAAATACAAGCACATTTACCTTTTGTCTAAATGCCAGATATACTTCGGGGAAATGTGTCATGTTGGTAGGAGAATAAAGGTTTCCCATGCTTTCCCCACACTGGAGCTCATGCACATGAACTCTTTGCTTTAAATAGAGGTACCGAAAGTGTTCAGCAACAGGTACTGGCATGCCAGTGAACCCAGTGACAGTAACACATTGAGCAGATAGCAGTGAAATGGTGTCTGAACCATTGCCATGGCCCTGTGGCAGAGGCCATGGGAAACTTTCAACCTTTACCTTTACCTTTAAGGACAAAACCTATGATTAAGGTGACTTTATCGCAATACCTTTACAAAACAGAAATACTTACTTAAAGCCTTATTTGTTCTGCTCTGCACTGATGCTTTGCACGTTATTTATATTTTTTTGATGATATCCAATAAAAGTGCTCAGCTGTTTGCACAGCTCAGCTTACTCTGTTTTTTATGTACAATATAATATTTTATGTGTCCTTATTTTCTGTTCAGGTTGGTGGTTTGATGCCTGTGGCCCGTCCAACCTTAACGGCATGTACTTCACCCAAGGACAACACATAGGGAAGTTGAATGGTATCAAGTGGCACTACTTCAAGGGTCCCAGCTACTCGCTACGAGCTACAGTCATGATGATCCGCCCCCTGGACTTCTCCTAGTCTTTTAAACTTCCGAACGTTAAACTTCCAAACAGCTATGTAGCACATTAGAGGGAACATGTCCTATTTTATCCTCTTGTCTCATCTCATTTCGCTGCCCATGGGCGTCGTCCAGTGAATCTTTTATTCAACCTGGTTCTTCCCCAGAGCAACTGATATTTCTGTGCTACTGTTGCCTCATAACCTTTCCCCTTAATGAACTGAAAAGCAACCATGGGGAGGAAGACAGAGCAAGACATGACTCACTTGAACTGATTTCTGTTCCACAAACATGACCTTATGTAAGGACAAATGCATTCAGGTGTGTCATGTCACACCTGGAATTTGTGCACATAAGAGCTTGATATAAGGTCAGCTTGTATGAGAATTCAAGCATGATGTCAAACCACAATTTTCCTGGGTACCTGTGTTGTAATGATATGGAGGACATGAACTCTTCTGTATGGAAAGCACCTATCACAGGGCAGCACTGACACTTAAACTGCAGGACAGAACTTATCTGGAACGCTCTAAGAAGAAGAATGAGAGATACAGCTTTTTTATTAAAATGTTGCTCACAGATCGCAGCCCATAAATATTACAAATGTATTATATATATTGTGTTTTTAGCATTATTTTTGTTATCCCAACTGTATACAATAGTCAAAGTGAGATGAAATTGTCTTTTGTACTGTACAGTGTATACTGATTTCTATCTGCATTATGTATCAAACACATGCCCAGTTTTACAGTGACTTTGAAATGCAAGTGATTGGTAATAGTTATGAGGGACGCTTGCAGTATTTTCTGGCAATTACACACTAACTGTCTTGACGGAGTGTGATTATTTTTAGAGTGCAAGATGTAAGGTTATTACTGGATTAGATTTTGAACTAACATCTACTTGCCTTTGTTATTGGCTGAGAAACTACGAATACCTGCCAAGTTTCAAATTGTGAGTGATCACCTTACCTCTACTGAGTATGAAAAACAAGGAAATTAATTCAGATAAAGCATATAATTAGTGATATATAACAATTAGAGCTTAGTATGTGTAGGGGGGAATGCACGTTCGCATTCACAACCAGTAATGCATATTTTCAAAAACACACAGAGGTATCCAACGTATTTCTGAAAGACATAAATGCTTATATTAAGCTGGTGTCCCAAATGTCCAAAACTCTCAAAGAATGAGGTTAAAGTTCAGCTTACTGAATCTTATTTCTATCTGGACATTATAAAACCCCTTTAAGACCAAATACCTTAAGACAAACCGCAGATCATTAAGACAAGTTACATCCAAACTATTTTTCACAGACATCAACATGACACAACTTCAGAATCCAGCCAGTTTCTGTTTCCCATCAATGCAGCTTTGGGGGAAAAAAGGAGCCGGAGTTGGATATGAAGCATGAAATTAATGATTTCACCAAGTGATCCGTGTGAACACATATTTCATAACCTCCAGCCTATAACAACAGAATCTACTTTGGAGTATTTACTAAAGGTACATGTGGCAAGAAGATATAGTGTATCTGGAACTTGTAAGACTACAATTGACATGTTTATTAGCATTCTAAAATTGTATAATTTCAATGTGTGTGTACGTAAAGCAGCTTTCCTGAGGAAAACTTTTTTTTTTCTGGTTTTGCTCCGTACAATGGTGTTTTGAAGTTGAGCATAAAACATAGAAGTTAAGATAATAACCCTGGTGAAATGTGCCTTTGATAACTTTGCTTTTACCTCATTCAATTCCAGATTTGCAGATTTTATTTAAACATCTTTTGTAACATGTGGTCAGTGTTGTGTTGCTAGATTAAATAAAAGAGCATGTGATGCACTGATGTTTTCAATCTGTGTTTAGGCTGCACTTTGTGTGCCAAATTGATGTGATGATAGACACAGGCTTAAAGTCAGTGTTCCAAAATATAGACCTCATGATGTCCTTCTTCAAGCAGATATGCTTTAACTTCAAAACGCTTCCTCATGATAATATCTTCAACATCAGTTTAAATCCTCCAATACAAATGCTATACTATATGTCACGCACAGCAAGTTTATTGCACAGAAAGACATGAGATAAATCCTATAGATCGACAGACCAGATGGTGCAATCATTAAACCTCCCTCTCTGCCCGGGCCGTGGAGTGGCTATTGTCTCGAGTGGTGACTCGCTTGCTTCTTTTCTACTGGCAATGACAGATTGCCAAAGTGTCAAACGATGCTGTCGGGACCTGTAGTGTCTCTTCATAGTTGACATTCCTGGGCCTAATCAGAGGTTAAACAAATTACTGCAGCCTGCAAACCACCGCTTGTCCTTCAGCGCTTGCACTGACCCGACACCCTCGCTGGAATGTGTTCTATAGAGAGTCTGGAGCAGTCGAGTGTGAAGAGAGTCCGCACAAGCTGGCAAACACCTATGTGGCTCTTAAGCTTTGTCCTTTGTTGGTGCGAGGACAGGAGGCAAGTTTTGTCTCCAGTGGACATTCAGGATGTCAAGCAAAGTGCTGTTTCACAATGTCATCTCCACACGTACACACACATACCAGCAACTCCTTACATCCGCAGCCAGGTTGCTCTGCTGAAAATGGATCCTTTCCTTTTAACTAAGGAAGAACTGAGGGCTGGCATGGCGATGGGACTCCCTGAGGGGAGGTAGGGCTCTGTGCTGCATGCAGACGGACAGTGTTGGACCCCAACCAAATCAGATATGACAGAGTACAGTACCTGCAGCATGAACACTCAGGGCCATTTAATCCCCTACAGAGACCACCTGCTCACATGGTAATGAGTAAAAACATTAAGGATAGAGTTAGAGAGGAGGATGGAAATGGAACATCTTTCTATAGCCCTTGCACATTCGCTTTATTTATTCAGATTTAATCATAAAATGCTTTTAGAATGGGCTCTAAATTCTAGTATTATTAATAAAGAGCTTTGCACCAGCACAAACCACTTCATCATATTATAGCTTAGAGTGTTTGACTTAAAGTAAGCAGAGAAGTCACAGAAAAAAGGAGTTCACCACAGGGGATATTTCATTCCAGGATGAAGAGAGAGAACAGAGTCAGACAAAGCAGCAAGCAAGAGTGATGGAGTGAACTTCAACAGCTAATGGTAATCCTCTTTCAGTGTGCAGCTCTGGTGTAGAAATAATGGATTAAAATGTGAAAGTAAGATGAAAGTAGTATAGTAGTATTTAGTTTTAGTGAAGTGAAGAACTCAGAGAGTGAATACTTTACTTTTAAATAATATTAGAAGCAAATGTTTAGCCTTCACTAATATAAAAACACAGAATTTAGTGTCAACCTGTTCTCGTGTTTATTTGCCGTTATTAGCGGTCAGCTAGTGACGGGCTACTATGACTGGTAGGTCACAGCAGCCTTACTTTCCCTACAGTAGGAAAGGTAAAGAAAAATAGATTTTTCTGAAATGCATGCCACTTAATCCTGATGTCTACGGTAAGTTAAACTTTATCTATATCAAATTTGTGAAAAAAATGTTTGCATAGAAACCTGGTCAGTCACGCCCAGAGGCAGTGGCACTTTTTTGTAAACTCATTTAGTCATGTTAGCTGATGAAATTCACTTGAACAGCTGTTGATGTATAAGTAAAAATACATTCTCATCTACACAACAAACTTAAAGGTGCAGTATTTTAACTTCAACATGTGCTGTCACATGGACTCTCGCTTTAAAAGCAAGAGAAAAACAGACATACAAATACATCTGAATGTAATTAAGTCCACAAATCTCAATCCTGTAGGTGGACAGGGAATGCTGTGAATGCTCCATTAATGAAAAACCCTGAAACCCCATCTGCTGCTTTAATTTAAGCAAAGTACAGTAGACTGCTCTCAAATCACAATGTAAATATACAATTTATGATATTCTTAAATATTGGTATTCCCTTGCTGCCTACTGTGTTGTCAAAATTTATGTCAGTCAGTTTGAAAGTGAAAACCTAAACCTGCCATCCGGAGTCGGTTTAGTCAAACCTTCTGTTGCTTGTAGCAATCACTGCTGACCATCACAGTTCTATCTGTTCTGTACCCACGACATCTACTTCATGTCTGTCCATCCTGGGAGAGGGGTCCCTGCTTTGTTGCTTTTCCTGGGGTTGGGGAGTTTTTCCTCATCCAAATCGAGGGTCTAAGGACAGAGACTGGGCTATATAAATAATATTTTTGCTTCGCACATGCATATAAGTTAGATCTTTGATCAATTTGAAGTAAATGAACTTCTCCAGTCCGAATGTTTTTTTTTCTAAGAGAATTTACTTCACCATGTCTCTTCTACATTGAATAGTTTCTCATCCCCACATGACTGTTAGTTAACTTACATTTTTGTAAACCTTAAATACTGACAATTAGCGTGACTTTGTGACATGCAAGGTCATTGTAAAATCTAGAGAAATGTTCAAGGTAGTCAGCAGGGTATATTTGAGACAAAATGTCTCAAATATACCCGCAATAGAATCGTATCCATTTTTTTATAGCTGTTTGCAATTGTTTAATGTTTTTGTTTTGTTGTTTAAACAAAAACATTTTTTTCTTAACTTTGTAATTTAACTAACTATAACTATATATGCTTTTATTTTTAATTGTTACTACTGAAATGATGAACTGAAAATAAATATTTTAGTTTATTACCATACAATTTTTTACAAATAAATTACTTTTAACTGAACAAATATTCAAATAAAAAACTTAATGGAAATAATTGTTGAATTCTCATTTATGCAACATCAGTTTAAATCAAATAAAGTATTATACTTTACAGCATTACGGCTCAACTGTACTCAGGTGTTGTGGTGGCAGCCCGGCTGACGGTGAGTGTCCTGGTTTTTTCTCCCTTTCATCAGTTATTGTGCTTTTTCTTTGGTTTTCTCTGTTCTCTGCCTGCCTCCCTGTGTCTCCTCCCCTGTATGTGCTCTCTCTCTCTCCCTCCGCTCCTGAGCCCAGCCAACGATCTGCACCTGCACCTCATCAGCCTGCCACACCTGCCGGTAATCTCATCCCTGCCTGTATTTCAACCCCAGTTCTTCACACTATCCTTGCTTGATTTTCGTTGTTCTTAACCTGGTGCTGTAAGTCCCTCAAGCTCTTGAAATCACTGATGATCCTCACATTTCTCCAGTTCTTGTTTCTTACCTCTGCTGTCACTAACCCTGTCTGTTTGTCTGCTTTCCTTCCAGGTTCACTCACCCTCGTCCTCCGTGCAGTCGGCTGGGCTCATCCTCCGGTCCTCTCCTCCTCGGACTTCCCCCCACGGTGTCCTCACTGTTCTCCCTCACCTCCTCACTTCCTCGGCCCCAGTGTTCCCCGGCCCTCTGGTCCCAGTCTCCTCGGTTCCCCGTGCCTGTGTTTCCCCGGCATCCACCTCTCCCTCGACTCCAGTCCCTCACCACCTTTTCCCAATAAAACCTGTCAAAACTGAATGTTGCATTTGGGTCCACTCTGTCCCCACACCACACCACCCATAACATCGGGTACTGTTTGAACTGGACTCATGGGTACATTTGGAACAAAAAGGCTTCTTGTGTTTATGAGCTTATTGTGGCAAAATATGAACTACTTATAAATGTTTTTGATTATTAATATTTTAGTAGACAAGTAAAGTAAATGTCATTTAAAAAATTACTTATTTTTAGTCCCTAGTTTTGGTGTTGTAATGGAAAAAGTGTACCAACTGTACCTGGTCTACCCCTATGTATTTTACTCTTTTTATCTTACTCTTGTGGACTCTAGGATGTTTAATAGATTCACTAGATTAGCATCTTTTGCGGGTGATACTTCCTTCATAGCATAATATAAAATGAGTGTACACCGTAACAAATCTGGTTCACTTGTAAAGAACTGCTCAAAATATTTAACGCAACCAAATAAGCTAATTTAAATGGTGTGTCTACAAGGCTAGAAGTCAGGGTAACTATATTGGAATAATACGAGAAGAGAATAACAGGAGGTTTTCTTTTTTTCCTATTCCACTCACAATGTGTGAATTTAGCATGCCTGTTTTTGTGAATCCAGCTTTCTTGTTATTGTGTTTCTTGTTTGTGGTATGTCATGTTTTTCTGATTTGTAATCACTTACCAATGAATTTATTGTGTTTTTGATACTCTTTCCACAATTTGCCTGCAGTGAAGACTTCAAAGCTTAACTGCTGTTTTCGACCATTATTGGAAGCGTGTTCAGCTCGCTGCATAGGTGTGAGTTGCACTGCATTTTGAGGTACGAAGAAAGCCCTGAGGTTTGGCTTTCTATGACAGAAACATTGTTTTGCCTTTGTTTAAATTAACGAATTGGTCTTACAATCATCATAAATCATCTGTTCAGCCGCGTAGCTGGCACAGAATCGACCACCACTAAAGTAAACATTTTAAAAACTGCTACAGTACAGAGGTTGCCAAAAGGGCACAAGGGAATGAACACATAAATTTATCAAATGTAAGTCAACCTAAAATCATTACAGTAAATGCTGACAACAATATGTGCAACTTTAAACCATTATCTCATTCACTGCAGTATTGTCCAGTGTAATCACAAACTAAATTTGTGTACAGTTGTACACTTCACTGTTTTTCTTCAAATGCGCACAGCACTACATCAAACTGAGACAATATCCATTTCCAATACAGATTTCCAAATCTACACCAACAAGTTATGTGATCTCTGATTTCTCAAGACTAATGTGTTATCTTCTTCACTTATAATAAAATCAGTTGCCATTGGTATATATCAGTTATCAAGCATTTGGAGGTGGTAATTATAAAGTGATTTTGGGTTGTGTAATGCTAGTTTCGAGTAGAAACTCCTGTGGTTTAGGAAAATAAATAGAGTAGAATATGAACATAAACCTGATTTGAGGTGAGGGACTCCTTCATCTAGAAAAACTCAAAAGAGCTTGATATGATTGATTGTCTGTGGGAGTGAGACTGACACTTGGTGTACACAGAGGGTGTGAAGCAAAGAAAGGCTGCAGGCCCCGGCAGGAGACATTCAAACTGATAAAGTAAAGACTGAATCAGCCAATATGGATCCCAGAGAGACTTTAAATCATGTTAAGACATCCTGGGAAATTCAAACTAAAGAACATTTACTTGTTTGCATAAATCATACAATTAAGTGTTATTTTATTTGTCTTTTCCTGTGACATGTTGGAAAACTAGCAAAAAACATGGGAAAACAGTATGGAGGTCAGAAAGTAGTAAGTTGGATAAAGCAACAGTGGAAGAAATAATGCGCTGGTCCTATTTCGGGTTTTTTATTTCAGAGCTCAGAGTGTTCCTAACATTATAAAAGTTGATATAACAAGTGAGAAGTGTGTGGCTAATTATTGCTCCAGAGGCTGCAGTGGTCAAAAGTAATGAAGTGTGATTGCTGACGGATGCGATGCAAGCCAAAAGCAACGTGGTTTTTTTTAAGAGCTCTGGTAACAAGAGTATGTCTCAAAACAAATAGCCCATATGTTTGACTAACACATTCAATATTACTGAAATACAGAGGATCCAGCTTGCAAATCATGAAGAATCCTCTCAAAATCCAGCCTAATTTGTCCTAATTTTATAAAAGTAAAAGTCTTCCTATCATAAATTCTGGGAAAACCCTTCTGTTCTCTGTAGTAAAGTGTTTTAGTAAAGGGAGAAGTACCTTGTTTATCGTGGGCTAATACTCTAACAGTGATCTTAATACCTGAAGAAAGCACATTCATATTCATATTAAATGGATGAACAGAGGCAAACTTCTTGACATCAAATAATTCAAACTTAAATATTTGGTAGCCTGTACTAGATTTTCCCCATGCACAAACACACTATAAAAGATCAGCAAGTTATTTTAGCACGACTGCTAGCTAGCTAATTTATCAATTTTTCATGTTATAGACGAATATTGCTGTAAAATGTATACATCCATTAGTAACATGCAGCATTTTAATTCAAGTCACAACACTAGCATGTTCACACAGAGAACATACTGATAATGCTAACAAGGTGGTTATTTCTTATATACAGTCTATGGTTATAACCCATGGTGCCTGTCGCGTGTCTCTGTCGCTAGCGCATCTCTTAAGGCGTCGGGGAGTGAGGTTTACTCACTGCACAGCCTAGCTGGGTACCATTACATGTGCTTAGTGCTAATTAGCAAATGTTAGCATTCTAACACAGTGAACTAACTAGCTAAAGATCAGCCTTTAAAGGTTTTGTTGTTGTGAGTATAGCATGTTAATGTTAGCATTTAGCTCAAATAACCACTGTGCCTAGACCTTCAGCCTTATCAGAGCTGCTAGCATGGCTATTGACTCTTAATGGTATTTAAAGCCATTAGCAGTTATCAGTGACACAGAAAACACATATTTAACATTAAACAGTACCATTTAAAGCCTCTAAAACTGTAAACACTTGCCACTCCAAAAGGCTCCGTTTTATCTTTTATCATATCATCCTCTTCTGCTTCCATCCTCTTCATCATGTAAGACATTGTCATGAAACCTGTCACATAAATCCAAACCAGGGGTCTTTAGTTCTCCCTCGGGCTCTAATGAGTTCATCTGGCCCCAGCAGTGCTCTCTGTCATCCTGTCGGTCCCTCTGCAGGGAATGAGGCTTCTTCGCAGATCTCCTGGCTAGCCCTCACTGACCCCTGTATTGAGCTAGCTTTAATTTACTGTCTTTCCTATCTTTATTTATCAGGGCCAAATGGCACGGCCAAACAATAACATACAGCCTCTTCGGAAGGAAGTATTAGTGGATTACATTTTTGTTTACTTTTCCTGGGCAAGATTTGTGCGCCTGGCTTGTTTGTTGAGGTCAGCATTATTGACTGTAGTTTAGCGCAGTTATTCAGATGATTTGTTAAAAGCCATATGTTTGACTGTTACGGATGTTATTGTTGATTTTGAAGAGACAGTAATCCATCAGACTCTGCAGGCGAAAATCAAAAAAACATCCTCTGAATCCTGGTTACAGCTGTTTCATTTAGTCATCTTAGTGGTCCTGCAAATAAACTCTGACCTCATTTAAGCTGCTTCTTCAAGATGACAGTTGTGAACATCTCTTACATGCCGGGTAGTTGATCTGATCACTGCAACAACAGGATTCCAATTATGTGTGCAAGAACACTCGAGCATAACACAAATCAGCATAACATACACAGGTCAGAGAAACAGCTTGAGAGAACTTCACAGATGCATTCCTACATAATTAATGCACAATAATAAGGATGGCCAAGTAAAACAATCTCAGAACAAGCGGTGAAAAGTAAACAAAGCAGCAGTAGCAGTGCAGATGTTGATAAGCACCAGGAAACGCAGGTGCATGCTCTCCAGATATGGACCTCCTTTGCCTTCAGTGGGGTCGACCACCCAGCCTATTTTGCCCAAATCACAAGAGCAGCCTTTAATTTAGACTTCCCACCTGCAGCATGTCTTTTTAGAGACAGAATAGAAATCATCTGAAGACATTATTCCATTGCTGTCATGATTGCTTTGCAAAGTCTATTTGAAATCAGCGGATGGCTAGCGGCATTTTAATGGACATAATCATCACTTTTTGCACCCATGTGTGATCCAGTGTTATTGTGTGCTGCTATTCAGAAAAGGCATCTGAGAGCCCCATAATCCATTTAATTTCTCTCTGTGAAGTTCAATTTTAAAGGCAGCCAAATATATTAAACAGGGTGAGATCACTTTAATTTCTTTCATATAACGTAATAAATTGTGGTACACAGTGTACATCACTGTGACCTTATTCATTAGTAGAAATGTTTACATGTTCTACTTGGGTTATTAATTAAAAACATTGATTAGTGAGCTGAAGAGACCTTTTTGTGTCTTTGTGGAGCATTACCGTGCTTCAACAATGAAATCATAGCATCCTCTACTGGTGGACTGCTATCCTCACAGTCACCCTAAACAGTTTACAACTAAAATGGACGTTTTGCCTTTTATTGGTTCCATTTGTCAAACAACAATTTAACAATGCACAAGGAAATCAAGTCTTACTATTCTTACTTCTTGATGAAAAAAACTCTCTAGCTGTGACACTATTGTGAGAAGGACGGATGAATGATTCCTTCTTTTGCCATAGTCTGAGGAAGAGACAGAGATTTAGTGCTTCAACTGTTATTAAAATTGTTCCAGGTACCTGCAGATATGGTGTAACATGAAAATACAAGCACCCTCAGAAGTAACATCCAGGTACACTTGGAAAAAGTAAATTAAGGAAAAGCTCCAGGTGGTTGTCTTGGATGTGACAGATGGACTGTGTGTCCTTAATGTGACTTGTGACCATTATTATTATAATATCCAAAACACTGTCTTTTTGTCTTGGTTGCTGCATAAACAAAGACTAAAATAGGTTTGTGGTGTCTCATGTGTCATTTAAAAATGAGGTAATCCTTTGGTGTGGTAGTGTGGAATTTTCTGTTGTTACAACATGTCAGCAGAAGTGTCTTTTATATACATTTCATTTGTAAGTAAAAATAACAAGGGAGACAATTCTATCATCATCTATATTAGAAATATATATTCTATTAGAGTCTTTTGTTTAAAACATTTTGACTTCACTCAATTACACTAGACAGCTGCAAAAAGCAGTTTCATCCATGGATCATATTTTCACCTTTAACCTGAAACCGTAATGAGCTCTTTTGTCCTTTTGGGGGAGCACTAACCTTCCTCTCAGACCGACCAGCATGTGGAAGGGTATATAATTTCAAACTGACTTGCCTTGAGAAGATGGCCTGTGCTCCTGCTCAGTGAGTCACTTCCGCTGTGTATGACAGACTTCCAACAGCTGCACTTCATATCTGTATGTGTGTTCCAAGTTCTATTTATAAATAACCCTCATCTGCAAACGCTAATATAAAAAAACACATAAAACAACATCATGTATTTTCACATAAAACTCAGCTCTTAAAACAGCAGTTAACACTCCTGTCAAAGCTCAGTTTAGAAAAGCATTGATGTTAACAGTGCTAATGCCAGAATGTATGCTGCCCTCTGCTCTCTCAAGGTAAGGTGCATTATGATATCACTGCCAGCTGCATTGCAAGACTAAACCCCTTCATGCGTAAGCAGGGGATCCTCGTCTCCTCCAGATATCACATTCTTCCCTGGTCAGAAGATCCCTGTTTCTTTTCTCACCTCAGATTAAGCATCTTTTGAATCTGTGATACTCTCCATTAAGTCTCAGCTGCATTTCCTTTAGGTTTTATAAAGTTTTGCTTCAGCGTCAAACTGTCAGTCATTTATTTCTTTTAACTCTTTTTGTCATCATTAGATCATTTAGAAATGACAGTGCGACTGCAGACGGCTTACATTCTCTTCAATACAGAACTTGTAATTTGTATTTTTACAATGTGGTATTGCTAATTTTACTTTTTAGCCAAACTGTGTAACTTTTGACAGCCACTTTGGTCACAAGTTACAATAAAAGGCAATGGTAGAAACTAACCAAATACATTTACTACAATACTACAATATTTTGGTATTTGTAATTTTCTTTTTACATTTAAGTATTACTGCTACTTTATATTTCTACTCCACTACATTTTAAAGGGAAATATTGCATTTTTACTCCACATACATTTATCTATTATCTATTAATTAAATTTATCAACTATATTTACTAATTACTTTTCAGATTAGGGTTTTACATATTAAACATAGGATAAATGTATAAAATATGATGCACTGATATTGATATCACTGCTCAATAGCATATAAAGTTGCTAAAATAATCTCGGCCGCAACAGTGGTAATGCATCAGTAATAATATTCTAAACCATGAGCACCAAAGTATAATTCATTCAGATTTAGTGGCTTTGTAAACAAGAGAAATGAAAAGGTTGTAACTCCCTACATTTGAAGCAGCCATAAAGTGAGAATATATTATATATACAGTATGTGTCCTTTTTGGTATGGCAAACAGGCTTGTCACTGACGGGCAGCAAAGAGAGGTGCATGTGGACAAAAGATCAGTCCATTATCTCCCAGTTGTCAACGTCATCTAAATTTGTGGGTATGTTTTTTTTTTTATAATGTCCAGAAAAGGGTAGGTAATTGTCAATAAATTCCCCATTACTAAAAGGTAGAGTGATTTTTTTTTACCATATATATTTGCATTTTGCTTGAAGATTTCTTTTTATCTGTTCAAGCTAGGAAGTTAATTTGGGATATTGTGAGTACATATCAAGTGGTGTGTCTTTGATGGCCTTTGCATCTGTGCACATGCTGATTAAACTTAGCACCCCCTGGTCTAGTGCCCTGTTTACGTCTAGTTACAAGCGCCACAATCTGTGATGAAACATGAGTCTCTAGGGGTGACCAGTGTCAGAGAAAGATGATCAGGACAGTAGCCTGGGATGACTCGAATAGTTTCCACCGTCATGTTAGGGGTTGCTCTCCCCATTTTAGAGCTGTAGCTGCAAGTGTGAGGGTAAGCTGTAACAGAGGGAGAAAAGGTTTCAAAAAACAAAGATTTGAGCAGAGAGGAGATGAATATGTTGAAGCTAATCTGACAGCTGGAAGAGGAAGATCACTTTGGGATTAATTTAGCCTAAATTGACACATTACATATGCATAATTATGTCTGACAAACAGACCAGCCAAGCTTCCCAAAGGAAGCCGTCCAGTAACAAGAACATCAAGAAGCTCCGCACTGTTAGCATGGTGTGCAACCTGACTAGCAGCTGGCAACAGTGGGTGACAGAGAACGAGATAAAGCAGGCTAGTGAACCCAGTGGCTGGTCTCCGTCTTCGCTTGGAGGACCAACAGAACCCAAAAAGACGTGGGTCTCAAAGAAGCCTGCTCCTGCTCAAACCCAACCAACAGAAGCTTCTCAAACTCATGTAATCACTTCTGCAGAGGCTCAGAAGACCTTAACTCCTCACAACGAGACCCTAGATGCATCCAATACTGGGGAGGTTAAGACCTCAGCTGAGCCACTGGTTGCATCTCGCATCAAGGTAAAGCAAGTGGTAAAGACGGTGACGAGCGGGGTTCAGGAGAAAAGTGTTGGCATTGGGCTCCTGACCGAAAAGATCAAGAAAGAGTCTCTGCCATCAGCTGAGGAGATTGACAGGCTTCTGAAGAAGAAAAGCTCACCTACACGTCGCAGAAAATGCTCCAACATGGTCTCATCTCTGACCAAAAGCTGGAAGCAGGTGGAGAAAGAGGTAGAAGGACCGGGAGAGGGACGCACCTTTGGAGGTGGTAAAGACGACAGTGGACACTCTAAGGCAGAGAAGCAGAGACTGGACATAGAGGATGCTCAAACCCACAGAACAAGCTCTTTGACAGAAGCAGAGCAAAAAGACTCGGAAGGAGATTCTGAGTCAGCAATGAAGATTAAAAGACCCTCAGTCCCAACGTGAGAATGATCAGTGTGCTTCATTTTGTATTTTCGGTAAAGGGAGTTAAGGCGAGGCATTTGACAGTCAGGTGTCAAACTTAAGCTAAGCATTAGCTGTGGAGAGAAAGGCATCTTGATTTGACAGGATGGGAAGAAAGCCAGAATCTTTGAAAAATTTGTGCTTCATTCATTGACTGTAATTAAACTCACTTGTGCACCATGAGGTCACAGATTAAGATGAGAAGTCTTCCTGGAAGATCAAGTGTCTATTCCATGACAACTTAAAAACACAGTATTTTAGTTTCAAAACACTTTCATTGCAGCACATGAAGAGGCAGGCGATGGCTGTCTAAAAATAAAGTATAGAATGTAAAATAGATCGTCTGTAAAATAGATGGGTTTTCCAGTTACAAGCAATCAAAGATGGATGTACAGCAGTGGGATAGAAAACACATTGCCACAATGTCCTATTACATATGAACATGTTCAGTATTTAGTAAAATTACTGTTTAGAGATCATTTTCACATGGCACTCATCCTTGCATTCCAATTTATTTATTTTTTTTACTATAAGAAAAGACATAGACACCTGTGGGCTTTAGCTAGCTAACATGATGCTGGATTCCAGTGAGACACAGCAGCTAGTAGTACTGAGAAGGCTGAAATCACTCCCTATTGACTATAAAGTGCACTATATTGACTGACCGCCATTTTTGTGTTTTATCAATGCAAAAATTAACAGTTGTGCAACTCAATAGCTTTCAGCGATAACACAAAATGATTATAAGTGTCTAAAATCTCAATTTAGCACAGAACCTCCCTCATTCTGTATTTTATATGAGAAACAGCAGCATGTATGAAAATCCTCCTGTTTTTTAGTAAACTAGATATGTGCCAGTTATCTTCAGTATATTCAGAATATTAGATTGTACTGTGTACCGGTTAAAAGTTACTCATAACAAACCTATGTCAAAACAGGATTTAATATTATTAGTATTATTTTTCAACCACATTGGATAATAAGAACAAGACTTCTTTCTTCCTCAGCAGTTTCTGTGTAAAACCTTCTACCATCTTATCGCAAGGTCTCCAAGGTAACAGATAATTCTGCTCTTTAAACAAAAAGTGAGGTTTCCTTTTATGAAAAATGAGCATTTACACCGATTACAATAGTTTTGTGATTCGTGCCGTTTAAAGTACAAAACAACTTTTCATGCTGATCCTCTGATAAGGTCCAAGTTATTATGGTTTGTTTTCTACCCCCCTTGTGGACATGCATCTCATGATTATGTCACACAAAAACTCCATCTATTAGGTCTGCATGACTGTTGAATATTTGTAACTCATCTTGCCCCTTGCAGAATCAAAACAGATACAGTGTATTGTATGTGTTTTATTTATTTGTGATATAATCTGACATCCCTCCCAGGTACAAAAAGGAAGCTGAAGATGCCAACAAGATAAACGCCCTCTCCAAGAAATACAGTGCTGTGGGAAACCTCAAGAGCCGCTGGCAGAACTGGGCCACAGAGCACACTGTGACCCAGAAACTAAACCCCTTCAGTGAATATTTTGACTACGATTACTCCATGTCGCTCCGCCTCCAAAAGGGCCAAGAGGGTTACGGACGCCCCAAGGAAGGAACCCAAACAGCAGAGAGAGCCAAACGCGCTGAGCAACACATCCACCGTGAGATAGACGACATGTGTTATGTGATCAGGACTATGGCTGATCCGGACCCAGACGGAAAGACCCGCATTACGTTTGGGCAGCTGTTTGACAGATATGTTCGGATCTCCGATAAGGTGGTGGGGATTCTGATGAGAGCCAGGAAACATGGGAAAGTGGCCTTTGAAGGGGAGATGCTGTGGCAAGGCCAGGATGATGGAGTGATCATTACTCTACTGGTGTGATGTTAACACTTGGGTCAAGTTGTAGCAGAAATCCTCTCACAGCTACTCGGCTGACACAATGGAGCTTGTGATATAGCTTCAGTCATTATCAAGCAGGGCTAAGAGGAGGATTTAAAATGCAATTTGACCTGGATCTTTTCAGTGGGCCCTTGCAGAACAATATCAAAGAATGTGGAGACTGCCAGCTTGGCAGACGAGTCAGTGGGGATTATCCAAGAATATTTTGCCGCTATTTATGCAGATCCTTGAACTGTTTCTGTCGGTATTGTGGATATTTGAGTTGTAGCTGTCATGCACATGTTTTGGAAAATCTTCTAAGATTTAAAAGTTTTGATTCAGGAGCTCAGAAGAGTTCAAGGCGATTCTAACTTTTGGCTGGTTAAGTTTCTTGCAGATTCGCATATGCATCTCTTTTGCACTTTCTTTATGGTTTATATTAATGACGACGAGATACTTGATTATGCTTTAATGTACCAAAAAAACAGCAGCACAGTAATTCAAACACAGATTGAGTTTCATTGCCTGAAGACCTGCAGCTCAGCATTCATTATACTGTACCATGCACAATGCAGAGGAACAGAGCAGACCACAGCACTTTTAAATCTCACGGCCTGTTGGACTAAGCCTGTTATGATTAATGGGTGACTATGACTTGTCTGGGGGGAAAGGAAAACTTTTCTTTTCACATCCAGTTATTGAGTCTCCGTAGAATTTCGGTGGGGTTGTAGAATCATAGAACCAATTTTACCGGTTCTTTTTGGTCTTTCACAAATAAGGCATTCACTAGCAAGGACCACGCCTCAACAATGTGTGATTTAGAGGTACATGCAAATATGGAATGCATGGATTAAGCAGGATGGATTAATGCATATAGAGGGGAAGGGTGATGGTGGAAGAAGGATGTCGTCTGATAGGCTGGTCTGAGAGGGTGTACAGAAGACCGGGCAGAGAGACTCAGTGTGGGGGTTCCGTCTCGGAAGTGTTTTCGCCCGAGAGCCCCTCAAGAGTCACAGCGAGAATATTTTCGAGGACTACTTTTGCGTTCCCTCACAATATGTTTTGCGCTCTTTCGTAATAAATTCTGCGTTCTCTTGCAATACTTTTCATCTTCCATTCCTTTTGAGTCATAGCTGTGTCTATTTCTGTCCAGTTGCTCCCAGCGCAACACTAGTATAGATCAGAGTATTGAATTTAACTTTGAACTGGGTATTACCTATGCGGATACAAGAGGTAATGCAAAAGTATTGTGGCAGAAGGCAAAATTTATAACAAGAGAATGCAAAACATATTGCAAGGGGGAGCAAAATATTGCAAGGTAATGCAAAACATATTGTGAGGTAACGCAAAAGTAGTCCTCAAAAATATTCTCGCCCTGACCCTTTGGGCTCCATATTTGCTGGATAGTGTATTGTTATGTTGCATAGGAAGTGATTTTTTTTTTAAATATTGAAGATAAATTACAAAAAACAATAGTGTTACTAAAGTGCACCAGCCAGTACGAAATGCATATTTGACTTTCTGTCCAAGAAGTCTCTGCTGTGTTCACATACAGCTTCAAAACATCTAATTAATATTTCTCTTTGGTCTTGCCATATTGGTATCCAGCAACGAGGAACCAGAGGTTGTAGTAGGTCTGGAAGCTGGTGCCAGATACTATCAACACAGTGAACAGTTAGTGATAGTGAATAATTAGCAATGAATGCAATTGATGACAGCTGTCTCTACATCCCACCATATTAAATATTCACCTTTGTTTGATATTCACCCTCAGATTTCACCATTGTACAACTCCAACACTTGTAAAGCTGTGATTCTACCTTCACCACTTAGGAAATAATGATCACTTCCTGTCACCACTGGCAGGGAAAACAAGTAGTATTCAGGCTGGTCTAGAGAGAAAAACCTGTCAAAGTCAGCAAAAACATCTCTGTAAGCTTGTTTATTCATGTACACCAGCAGTGGGTGACTGTCTGCTTCTAAACGGTACTTTTTAAAACAGAGTATTATATCTCTGATGGCTTATTCTCTGATTTAAATTAATTCCCATTTGACTGATAAGAAAAAATATGTAAATGTTACATGGGCACACAGTCAAAGTAGAGGCTGTGAACAAAGCATAGGAAATGAGATAAAGCATTCTGTTATGTAAATAGATGTCTGATTTATTGCTTGCTCTTGTGATCAACAGATGCCCGCAGCAAATGAGAGAAAAACGTATTCAATATTTTTAATAATAAGTAGAAAACAAAAAGTCAAAATAAAAAATAAAACCTGTTAAATGAAATGTAACTGTGTACATTTACTCAAGTAGACATTCAAGGTACTTGTACTTTATGCAACTTTATACTTCTGCCCCACTACACTCCAGAGGCAAAGTAGAAAAATTTACTTTTTACTCCATTACATTACATATTAGTTACTTTTTAAATTTAAATTTTCTGATAAACCGAAGAATTAAGCATTTTTGAGTTGACAAAATTCTCCTTAATTCTCTACTTAAGCTAACTCGAACAAACTGCCCCTTCAGTTAGCTGGAAAATGTATCGTCACAAAGCTGAACAGCTACGTTGCTGTAGATAAACCTCCCCAACAGTATATAAAGTCGTTCAAATCAGGACAACCTTAAACTACAGCTGTAACATGGAACATACACATTAATGCAGCATGCAGTAATTATTAATCTAAAATCATTATATGTAATAGTAAAACGCTTCACAGGTACAATTTTTCTGCTTAATTTTTATTTCAAAATTTCATTTTTATACCAGTTTCTAGTGTTAAATTAGTGTATTTATGCATTAACAGGTAACTTTCTATTTAAGACTCGAGTACAGGTCATATTTTATGTTGTATATTATTTTGTGGAATTTTAGAGAAGCTGAGTAAAATCTAGCAGAGGTAGTGTAATCATCAAAAACACCAGATTACACCATTCCTAACAAATACTGACACAGTTTTATTATTCCAGAAGCTTTTCATTAAATTAAGCAGGAATTGTTGTTGATAGCTTATTTGACAAATTGACTGCTGCACTACATTTGCCACTATAACATGTAGTGCTCTTCATTATGTGTCATTCATGTGTGGTTGTTTTACATTTTTCCTCAGTGAGGAAATATAATTTCCTTTTCATTTCTACCTTTTGTTTTGTTGATTTTTATTTTCTTACTCATCTATTTTTTAGTATGCCTGAGCTTATGACTCATATTTCCTGATTTCAAAACCTTATGATAAGCAGGAAGATGAAGCACTGCCACTTATACACGCACTCACACATTCTTAGCGTACGTACTGTTTATCATTTCTCAGAGATATTTGTCAGAGAAACTCCTCAGACAGGCTGAGCAGATCTTAAAACAAAAGAAGAAACCAGGAAGTAGGTAGAGAAAACACACCGACGTATTGACAGTCACACCTGTGTGAGCTGATGCATGTTAGGCACCACACAAGAAATAGCCTATCCTGAAACAACAGACAGACTTCCTCATGCTGTCGCATTAGGGATCTGTTTATCACTCCAGGATATTGAAATGTTTCAAATACCATGAAAGACACGTCACATGCATAGGCAGAAATCACGGGGGGGCAGGGGGGTCAGCTCCCCCCCTATCTGAGGGGTGTCCCCCCCTTAAAAACCATCAAATAATATAATGACATAAACTTGGAATAATTGTGTAAATAGTAAAACAATACAAACGCAAAAAGGGCAATTAAAGTGAACAGCAACAGTGAACACAGCATTCATACCAACGGTGGTCTCTATTGGTAATTAACAACAAGCCTCCTTCACACGCGGCTCATCTACTGCTGTGGAAATGGAATCGCGGGTGAAAAAACCACCAAACGTGAGTTCTTTTAAATAAAACTGCTGACAAATAAGGTCAGAGCTGACAGAGAGAAACAGAGTGTGCTTGTGTGTCTGACAGGAAAAGCAAGGTGAGCAGATTACTGTAGTTCGTGATTAAACACAAAAATAAGCTGGAGAATTAAGAGGAATTAAAATGGTGTGCAATTTATTTTCTAGCTCCTTCCAGTGAATATGCTAAAGTTATTTTATAATCAATGTTTCATTATGACCATAATATTTAGGATAATATGACCGCGTGATGAACCTATGAACTTAAGTCATATTTAAACAACTATTACTTTGTGTTGTTGCCCAGAAAAATAGTAGTAAGACTTCTCTCTGTGTCCACGTATCCTATACAAGTACAATTGTGGCTGTATTATTTGTGTCCCCCTCAAAAATATCTACTACTACTACTACTACAGTTAGATTAGATTTAAGCCCATGGTCACATGTGTAGCAGACAGGCAGGCACTTACTCTGAGAAGAGTGGGCCCTGTGTGACACTTGGTTTTGTTTATCTGTCACTTACTTGCAATACCTGTACTACATGTTCTTCCCATGAAGGTATCGTTAACTCATTTGCAGATGCCACAGCTGCTTCCTCCTTTGCTCACTTCCGCTTTCACTTGAATGCTATGATGCTATGAAAATTCCAATTAACACACTGAGTAAGTAATAACACACTGCATAAGCTACTGTATTTCTCCTTTCTTCAGAGACACATGTGTTGTGAAACTGCTCTGGCAAATTAGCATATCAAAGAGCTTCTACAAGTCTTTACAGTAGCTGTCAGTTTGAAGATCTGATAATTATGGTACGCACATTTAGATACAATCATTCTAAAAATAAGCTACTGTTGTATCAGCCTGGTATCACGAAATGGCGTATGAATAACATGTCAATATCTTAAGTCATGTCACATGTTATTACAACACAGCATAGACTGTACTGACTTATATTGTTCAGAGAGGTTTGTAAGTTAACCTACGTAACATACTTAAGTTACGTCACATACATAATGTAACTTAACTGATAACTTAAGTGATGTTAACTAATGTACTTATTTTAACCCATACCATGATCTTTTCCCAAATGTAAGCAAGTAGTTTTGGTTTAACATTCTCATTAAAGAGTTGGTATTATGCTAATTTTCAGGTTCAAAATCCTATTTAGGGGTTGTACCAGAACAGGTTTACATGGTTTACATAGTTACATGGTCAGCGAGAAGTTGGTAAACAGCTTCGATTCAACTGTAGGCTACATGTTGCAACATGGACTAGAGCAAGTGTTTCAGAGTGGTGAGTTATTAATCTGTAACAAACGTATCTTTCATCCACAAAGTTTTAACCGAGCTCTGTCTCTACATCACAGTTACAACTTCATGTCCATTGACTGCCTGGAGGGTGGCTAGTGTTTGGAAGGGAGAGGTGTGGTGTGTGCTGCAGCTCCACTTTTTCCACTGGTGATTTTGAGGGCATGTCGAAGTAGCCGCTTGGTGAGCGTTATATGACCCGCATTTAGCTTTCATCCCTGTGACGTCACATGGATGAAAGTGAAACGGCTGAACTACAAACAAGCTGTTTTCAGACACCACCTTTTTAAACGTTCTCTACCTGCTTTTGAAGCCTGCCCACTGAACTAGTCTTGGCTGTTTTTTCTCTTCTTTTCTTTTGTTATTGTTGCATTTTTTTGTAAGCTTCCGGTCTGATACGTGACAATACAGCCAACAGGGGGCGACTCTTCTAGTTGCAAAAAGAAGTCTGGTTCCAATAGAAATAATGGTAAAATGACCCTACTTCTCAGCTGATTTATTTCAGTTAACACTTTCCTAATGAGTTTATGGTCTCAATTTATTTATTGAAAAGATTCATTTGCACTTTAAAGATGTAGAAAACATGACATTAATACCTCTCAGTTTGCATAAAAGGCACACAAGATAGAGAGAAAAACTTATATTGTATTAAAAAAATAATAAGTAAATATAGAAAAAGGAAAGAGAAAAAAATAAAGATAGATAATAAAATAAATAAATAAAAGGATGCTAGGGGTCCTCAAACATCTTCAACTCCTTATAGGCATGGAGGAGATATCTTGCATGTTTCCGTTTCATTAGTTTTAAAGCACAAAGATTATTGGTGATAACGTCCTGCTTGAAAACAGAAAAAACAGGCTTTAGGCTAGAGTGACTACTACCCATGGCAGTGTGCAAATTTAACCAGCACCGTTGAAAAAGCATGTTCAGAGTTGGCTGTTCACTCTCTCTGGTGAGTACATTTAATTTTAAGACTGTTGTTCGCTAGACTAAATTGTCAGCCCTGTTAAAAAGCTGATTCAGATCTGGTGAGGGTGTTTTTGGTTCCTTTGGCCCTGTTACCTGGAAGAAACTGTTTGATGACCAAATCTATCACTACTGTGTTCATGTGCAAAAGTAAAATGAAAACTTTATTGATAGTCTCTGGTTATTTGCTGTGTGGGTGCTTTTGTTGCTTTTTTTGAAAAGTATAAATTTGACTTTGTACTGTTACGAGCTGCTGTATGCATTTTAAAGTATTTTCAGTTTAACTGTAATGAAATGTACTGAAAATAAAATGATTATAGGAATATTTAGGCCTATGTGCTTTGTCATGGTGATTTTCCACCAGGGCACGCGCAATTGTACCACACGCACACACACGGGCACACGCGCGCGCACACACACACACGCAAACAAAGACAGAGAGACGTTCACTTCCAAACTGCCTTCTCGGCAAAACTGATAAAACTTGCCCTTCCCTCGTATTCTAGAAAGCGCTGAGCCTACACTTCCCAGGATCCTTTGAGGCGCGGCAGCAGCTGTGCGCTCCGGCTTGCCCGCAGCAAAGTGATGATAACACGCCAAACAAGGTACAATGAGAGAGCGTTGAGTTTTACATTTCGCCTGCTCCCTTGCGAGTGATGCCCAAATCTGTGGAGTAGCACAATGGCTGTCGAAGGTAAGGTGCTTCACGCTGTGTTGTCCACGATGGCATTTCCGTTTTTGTCTCCTTTTTCAGACAATAGTTGTAGTTATCATGTTGATAGGAGCTGTACGGTGTGAATGGCTCAACCCAGACACAGTCGGGTCAACTATGAAAGCCTGTGATTGGGTGATGTTGCAGCCTCTGCTCTCTCCGCATCACGTACACTGTCCTGGTCATCTTCTACTATTACACTGTACAATTTAAGTGATAGACCGCTGTCTATTCACTGTCGCGGTCACACACACACACACACCCCATAAAGACTTGCGCGCAGCCGCTTTCTGTATAAAAATTGTTACCATCTGTGCGTGCGCTCTGTGATTGGAGACAACACTGGTTAACAGGTCTGCGACCGAGGAGCCGCCAGTTCTTTTGCATTATCATCTCCGGTGTGCCGTGCCCTCTGTGTTCTCATTAGGAAACCGGAGCCCCGCAGTGCTGAGATTGATATATCGGGGACTCTTTTCTGTGAGAATAATTTAGCCTCTATTCCCGGGCTGTTCTGTGGCGCAACAGAGCGCCGTGTCCGCGCCTCAGCCTGACCAGTCTGGTTGAGGCTGCTCATCTGGCAGCAGGTGGTGTGACATGTTGACCGGGGAAGTCACCCGCTTCTCCCCGTGATTGTCAAATAACAGTGAGTTAAGGTGCTCGCTCCGGACGTTAGAGGTGACAGAAAAGTGACAGCGACAGTCAGTCACTCGGAATGCTTGGCCAATCTCCTCACCTTATCGGAGGCATCTTGTGGATCCAGAATCCAATGAGAGGTATGTTGGGGAATGGGGTTTGTGGGTGTCACATGCATGCAGTGGTACTAGATGTCTACCTTAAAGGATTTTCCAGTCCAGTCCATTGTGTATTTGCTCATGCAGGTATGCTTAGAATGGGCACTCCTACAGATCAGGTTATTCTTCTCTGACAGTCATTACAGGACATTTTAAAAAACATTGTCCACATGACATGCTGTTGTGAACTGTCTTTCTTATTCCTTTTCTAAGATTTATAAAAGTGGACTTTTTATGGTGGACTGTGTCATGTTATGTTTGCCAGGATGCACTGACATTGATGGCACAGAATAAACAACAGGAAGCACTGAGTGCAGAATAGTTATTATTGTTCTGCAGCATGACTGCTCATATTTTCCCATGTGAAGGACCCGAAAATAGACACATGTGAAACAGCAAACTCCTGTTTTCGAAAATAGAATCAGGATTTTAGTGCAACATTTGTACTGTGGATTGGGACAAATCAGACCCTCTGATCACAGCAGTCATTCTTCTCTCACCAGGCTAACTCACAGTGAACTAAAATAGGAAATATCTTACTTGAGGACCACTTAAAAGCATTGCAAGCTCTCATGGAGATCTCTTAGCACTTTAACAACTGCTCTGTTTGTGCAAAATGTCTTGTACAAGTTGTGCCCTTCTTTCTCAGATGTTGTTGCTCATTTAAGGCTGACCTACAGGTGTAAAGATATTGCCATCTCTTTCAAAGCTTGAAATATGTCTCTAATTATATACAGTCAGCTCAGCAGCAGCTATAACACTTGCCATCCTTCCAGCATATCACCCTGTAAAGTTTCATTTATGCATCTCTTGAGATTCGTCTTTCAAAGCAGTAAAGAGGAAGACGGGTGCTGAAGCTGCCTGCAGATGCACAGAAATGAATCGTTTATCCAATTTAATCTATTTCTTGTCTTTTCTTATACAGGCTAACAGATGAATATTTTAACTATAATGATACCAGTTTTTGTCTAACAATTTCATATTCATATCTTACAGAATTATCTCCTCTCACTATTATTATTACTGTAAGATACCAGAGATAGTTTAATGCCCTTATGCCATTTTAGCAGTTGAATACAAGCTTAAGCTTAAAATGTAGTTTCTTTTGTCACTGATGCAGTAATGCAAACGCAAAGCGGGAAATACATTATCAATACAATTTGTGACTTGAGCAGTTCAAGCAGCTATAGGACAACTCAAAGCATTCAATCATGATCCACTGGCTTGTGTCACTAAGAGATATGAGTTGAGTCAAGTCCCAGTCTCATGAAGCTACTATAACTAATATGTCTGCCGGAATTTGGAAGGTCAGTTCAGATTTCGCAAGAGCAGCCAAAGCATCATATACAGCCGTATACTGTGGCTGAAATATAATAAATTGAAATACTTTCTCCCTGAAGACCATGATGATAGTGCACTTCTCTTTTCAGAGAGTGAAAAGTAGAATTATACTCAAGTAGAATTCAGTGGTAGAAAGTATATTACCTAAATACAATTTGAGGTACTTGTATTTGAGTGTTTCTATTTCCTGCTACTTTATACTCCACTACATTTCAGAGAGAAAACTACTCGTTACTTTTTAGATTTTACAAATAAAACGTACAATGAGCTAATAAAATACACAACATTAGCATGTTTGTGGCATGTGACCCTTCACATGTCAGAAGCTTATGAGTTAGCAGCTTCACAAAATAAACATATCCCCTCTAACTTCTCAAATGGTTTAATTTAAAGGTGGACTAAGTGACAAAAACCATGATATAGAGTGAGCAACAACAAAGCAAGTAGTGTAATTAACGCAAGCTAAGTTGTGTGTTCACAAATAGTCTTTACAATTGCTGCTGCAAAGCTAACATGCAGAAAAGGTGAGACAGTCCCGACTAGCTAACATTACAACAACATCTTGTCTTGCTCAATGTCTGTGTGCGAGAAATTTAAAGCTACCTGACACTAGAATTGGTTACCCCACCTTTAAATAACAACTAACATTTCACAAAAAATCAAAAATTCAGTCCAAAGTCCAGAACTTGTAGCATCGTCGCAGAACTTATTTTTTTCTTCCTTTGTACCCCATTAATCAGGTCATAACGGCTCAGATTTATCATGTGACCCTGAACAAGATCAACTGGGCTACACTTCTTATATAAAATTGTTCAAACTAGTTGCACTTCCACCTCCTGCAGCCACAACAAAACACTACTTATGGATGGATGCATCAGCATTAACAAATGTCATTTAAATAATATTTCAATCACAAGGGGCAATTTTTCATTTAAACAAGTATTTTGCCTTTTGACACTTTACGTTCATTTTTCTGCGAATGGTTCTGTACTTTTACATAACTAGGATTTTGACAGACTTTTAGTTGCAATAGAGTATCTTTAATTTGTTGTATTGCTACTTTTACTTAATTAAAGGTTGTGAATACTTCTTCCCAAACCAACTTTTAACATATAAATGTATAATTTAGCTGTTGTTCTGAAGTCGCGTAGTTAATTGGTAGGAAATTAGTAAGGATTTTCATCATAAAATCATATTATTTGGTTAAAGCTTCTCAAATGGCAGGTTATTATTATAAATTGAATACCCGAGGGGTTTAGCTCAAAAAAAGCTATACTTTTCATTACATTTTATATAGATTAAATGGAGAAACAACAGATTGATTGTAAATTAAATTAACTGCTACTTATGGATTGTTTTACATAGTGGATACTGAACTCCATTTCTAAATTTGCCACTGTTAGCTAAACAAAGTCCTGCATCTAATTAAAACTGGTTTTGTTTATTTCCCTGTGGTAAAAGCAAAGCTTCTACCTGTGGATTCACTTTCAATTTAAGATGTGATGTTTGAGAGTCACAATAACTCTGCAGTGTCACTGTTTACTGTTCCAGTGCTCTACCAACCCCTCTAAGACAGATAATAAAGGTCAAGTATTTAATAATATATAACGCATGAGAAGACAATAAGCTCTTTGAGAAACTAGCAGTTTGGAGAGTGCCTCTCCCCATTTGAGTGTTACTTAAAGGCACTTTCACTGAGCTGTGTTTGGCAAATTCAGTCTGTGCAAGGCAACAATGATCTGTACTGACAATACTTAAATCTAGCAAATGGTTTGATTTGCACTCCAGCGAAAGGTTTAAGCAGGTTCTATGAATGGAGTTAAAATGTATAACAGCTGCTGTGACCTATTCTGTTGTTTAGGTATGAGGACATGTTTGAAAAATGTGTGGCTTTCCCTGACACAAGTATTTCACCTGCAAGGGGTATAAGACAGGAGAATGGAGTTTAATAGTTGTCTCATTAGCATGTTGGAACATAAATCTGATGCCATCTTTAATACAGATTACATCATCACTTAGTAAAGGTATGTTTCTTGGTCAAACTCCTTAATAATACAGTAGTTGTGTACATGTATTTGTGCTCATGCTTGGAAGATGCAACTATTTACAGATTCAAAGTCAACTACATGGAGTATACTTCACAAAGGCTCCTGCTGACGAAGCTTTAAATCATCCTGCCTCAAGTGCTTTGCATAGTCATACGTCATAATCTCAAGTACTGCTGCCTCATAACAGCTGATATGACTTGATGACTGGTGTTATATTTAGCCCTAACCATATTGACTAAAGGCTGGGTTATACTAGAAAAGAACCGGTTTGTATGAAGTCAAAAGTGTTAATAGCTGATCTGAACGGTCACACTCGCCGCCAATCATGGCTGAGTAGGGACACATTTTCCCACAGTCCCTCCTGGAAGGCATTCATAGTGTTGTATACGTAAAAAGTGACAGAGATAGTTGTGTAAACAAAAGAGAAAAAAAAAGGTTGCCTCAAATGAGTATAAAATGTTGTGCAGTGTCTCGATATCTGATAAACCTTCAAACAGGACTTTCATATTGTATAGATCATACTGTATATTTCTTATCAGCACTTGTAGCAACACATCCACACTCACATATGTTTTTAATAACACAGTGCTTTTAGGATCACATGGTCCATGGTGGAATCAAACTAGTAAAGTCGTGTTTGTATGTTATGCATCTTAACCGCCCTGACACCAGCACTCAGTGTTATTTTCAGTCTGAACATTGTTTCATTAATTCTTATGTCATGTTAGACAAGCTATAAAAAGGTTTCTCAAAAGCATGAGACAGAAGCATGTGTATGTGCATGTAGATTCATATGCACACACATAGAACCCAGACCTCATGTCCAGCCACAGCAGTGTTTACCCCCGTGGCAGAGGTTGTTCATTTCACTCCTTCTCTCTTGCCTCTTTGCGTCAAGCCTCCTTGATCTGTCCTGCCCTGCTCTCCCCGCTTGTGCACCCATTCAGAAAACTAATTTCAAATCCATCCCCAGGATCAAGCCCAGGAATAGAATTAGTCCAATAAACATGTGTATATGAGTGGGTGGAATAGGATTACATCTTAGTCAGGTTAATAAGGAGTTACTACCGTGAAGGAGCATCTACCCAGCCTTACTCAGCAGGAATGGGATTAAGATGGCAGAAGATGTAGGGAATGCCATTGGAGAGCAGTGTTGTGTAATCATCCCTTGGGTGGACCTACAGCCATCTTTGATGCACCACAGTAAAGTGCTGCTGTGTGAAATTTTCGAATGAGAGATAAGCAGAAAATAAAAATAGAAAGTAATAGTGTGAACTGAGTTGCCCTTTAGCGATGTCAACAGTCACATATCAGACTTGCTTGTATCTTCTACCTTGTACCTGGTGAGAGTCTGTCTACCACATGTCTGGGGTTTAGTCATTACAATCCTGTTGGTTCTGTCTCTGGCCCGCATCACTGTGTCTGACTGTCAACTTGAGAGAAAAGATGCCAAGGGATGGTAAAGCCAATAGAGTCTTGTGCTCTGTTGGATGAACCTGACAGACTCTTTGTTTTTTTTGTTTTTAGTTTGTTTTCACTTAGTTTAACCAGAATATTTGAGAATGGACTCACTTGCACAAGTTAAAATACCAA